TTAGCTCCTGGCCTACTGAAAGAATAGACATTTGCATGAATAGACTACAGATCTCTGTCTTGGATACATGGAGATGTCCCCACCTAGTTGGAGGTCTTAGATCCTGGCCCATGGAGTAGGATAAGACCGGCATTGGGATCCTTGTACAAGGAGTAGTTACACCAAATTCAAAGAAAGCTTAGCATTTGTGGAAGGGAGGAAGGACATGAAGGTGCCAGGTAGTGTGTTTAAACAAAGATGTAAGCTAGCTCGAAAGTCCTGATTTTGATCTTTAATTTGCATAGTGCATAAAATGATGCTGTTCTACACAAGATGACAAGGAAGGTGTTTTGGGGGCTGCTTTGCTTTGTACTTTTCATTTGCATGTGTCAGCTTATTGGCTGAAACACCATTCCTGCCTTGGAATACTTACCCTCCCCACACCTCCCAAAGTCTCTCCGTTCCTTTGTCTTTCCACCGATGAAGAGTTTCAGGAGGCAAAAGGACTTTTCCAGGTGTTGTCCTTTGTGTTTAAAGAAGACAAACTGAAAGTTGCTTCCTCTGTGCAGGGATGGGAATGTGTACCTGTGGGCATGGTGGGTGGATGGCTGGGTGTAGCTTTTGGTAGAATTAGGTTACAAGAGAGTTTTAAATAATGTACTTGAAATAGATGAAATTGTACCATTCACATAGCAAAACCATGGAATCAACCTGGATGCTCATCAGCAGTGGACTGGATTTTTAAAAAATGTGATAGGTATATACCATGGAACACTACACAGCCATAAGAAAGAATAAATCATGTCCTTTGCAGTAACATGAATGCAGCTGGAGGGCATTATCCTAAGTGAATGCAGAAACGTGTTCTCACTTAAAAGTAGGAGGTAAACGTTGAGTACACATGGGCCCGAAGAAGGGAACAACAGACACTGGGGCCTACTTCAGGGTGGAGAGTGGGTGGAGGGTGAGGATTGGATATCCACCTGTCAGGGGCCGTGCTGTTTACCTGGGTGACAAAATTATCTATACACCAAACCCCCGCAACATACAGTTTCCTGTGTAACAAACCTACGTCTGTACCCTTGGAACCTAAAAGAAAAGTTGACAAGAAAAAAAAAAAAACAGATTAAGGGATCCTAAATCAGATTGATAATATATAATTAAAATAATTGGCAGATTTTAGAGAAACCAGCTAAAAAATGGATCTAATGACTTTTGCAAGGCACAGTATGTGGAAGACCGTAAGAAAGCCACATAAATTGTGGTGTGTGGGGTGAGCCTGGGTGCTGTGCCTTCCTGATGGGCAGTGTGCCATAATTGGAACCACTGACCATGGCTGGGGGTCCCTGTCACCCTGGGCTGATGATGCAGGCACCACCAAGGCAGCTGGCATTCCCTATTCATAGGAGTTGTTATGAATAAGAATTACTGCATTCTCTGGGTTCCTTATAAACAGACGTCCATCTCATAATACAGGTTTGGGTATGTTGCTATCTGTATTTTCAGCTCTGTGGATTTAGATTTTTAAAAGTTAATGATTCTTAACCTGCCTCTGAGAAAATGACTCCATTGGGAAAAAAAAAATCATTTCTTGGCCTGCGTACATTTTTATCTGTACTTTCAACTGTCAGCTGCCTTTTCTGTGTTTATGACTGTGTGGAGAAGTTATGCTACTGACATGAATAACGGGAACTGGATAAGACACAGCCACTCGCCCTGGGAGACCTGTTTCAGCTGTGCGGATATGCTCTCTATGGTGAATGTGGCTGCTGTACACATATGCCCTCTGTGGTCAATGTGGCTGCTGTGCGGATACACCCTCCATGGTGACTGTGGCTGCCTTGTAGTTACACCCTCCGTGGTGACTGTGGCTGCCTTGTAGTTACGCCCTCTGTGGTGACTGTGGCTGCCTTATAGTTACGCCCTCCATGGTGAATGTAGCTGCTGTGTAGATACGCCCTCCGTGGCCAATGTGAATACCATGCAGATACGCGTCCACGGTGAATGTGCCTGCTGTGTGGATACACAGTCCATGGCAAATGTGGCTGCTGTGTACGTATGCCCTCCGTGGTGAATGTGGGGGCTGTGCAGATATGCCCTCTGTGGTGAATGTGGCTGCTGTGTGGATACGCCCTCCGTGGCGAATGTGGCTGCTGTGGTACATGCGCCCTCCTTGGTGAATGTGGCTCACCCTCCATGGTGAATGGGGCTGCTATGTGGACATGCCCTCCGTGGAGAATGTGGCTGCTTTTGGACTCACCACCACCTCATTTGGGCCCTGGGAATTGGTGGTTCACCTTGTGACCCTAGGCAGCATCAGAGATGGGAAAAGAGCCTGTTTCCCCAGTGAGCCCTACTTGCCTGAAGGAATGAACAGACTTTAAAGGGAACCACTTAACATTTTCAAAGAAGTCCTTTGAGCTTCCTAAGAAATGACCCTTCTTTTCTTCCATAGCAGTTCCCTCCGGGACTTTGAAATCTTTTCCAACATAAGCTCAGCAAAACTCTCAGCTTCCCTGACTCTGAGGGCACTCGAGCAGGATACCCTTTTACTCAATGAATTGGTAAAGGCTTCCAAAGGGAACGTAGTCCTTGTAATTCTTCCACATCTGGGCCCTTACATCGCCATGTTCACTGCTGGGGATCTGTGCATTTGGGTCTTCAGGTAGGGCTCTGAGGACAGCAGGGAGACATGAGACTACCTTGAAAGCTCACAGGACCACACTTCTCTGTGTGGCACCTCAAAAAAATCCAGACTTTGAATAGAATGAAAGAGGCTGTAAAACTGGTGCTATAGGATGAAGAGCTCCTAGAAGGCAAAGAACAGAGAAGAGAACCTGGCAGTATTTGCAAGGAAGACATGTCGTTCCCTCCCCCTCCAAAAAGAAGAGGGAGAGTGAGGAAGACAAGAAAAGAGAAGTAGTGAGAGACCTTAAGAAACTAATTGACTCTGGGCAAGAGAGGAATCTATATATGTACTTTTCAAATTGTATTCCGTCACTGTGTCACTGTTACTGAGACTGCACACAGTGTCACGAGTCAGAATTCTCCCTGGAGATGTATTTCTATAGCTAGTCCATGACAGGGAGGTGCATTCTCTGTTTCCTGTGGGGATTAAGCAGACATGAATAGAAACCACGGTACAGTCATTTCTCCCTCATCTTGGAAGATATGTTCCAAGACCCCCAGTGGATGCCCAGAAGCACAGAGAGTCCTGGACCCTATCTGCAGTATATTTTCCCCATATATACATACCTAGGATAAAGTTTAATTTATAAATTAAGCCCCCAGAAAGAGATTAACAACAATAACCAATAACAAAAGATAATAATTATAACAATAGATGGTAATAAAATGTATGTAAACATGATCTCTTTCTCTCTTTGTGTCTCTTTCTGTGATTCTCTCTCACTCTGAAAATATATTGTTCTTCACCTTAGGTAACTGAAATGGCAGAAAGTGAAACTAGAAAAAGGGGGACTACTGTATAACTCAAAAGCTTTTCTGATTTGTTGAATTTTACCATTGGTGGTGGTGCTGGTGGTGATGTGGGGGGGGTGTGTGTGTATGTGTGTGTGTTTCCTGACTGTAGAGAAAACACCCATAGTACCAGAGATACTGGAAGGAAATGGAACTTGAGGCACTGGGGAGATAATTTGCTCCTTAGATTGGAAAATACTGTCACCTAGACCGTATAGAGGCTCATTTTGAGAGGATAGCTGAGATGCTGAGTTCACATCTTCCACCTGGCCAGTGACACTCCTTGGAGCTTCAGCAGTAGTGACGTGGGATGGAGCATAGTTTGAAAGGTCCATAGACTTCTATTTTGCTTCTCTACCCTCTCTCAGAGGAAGGGGAGCCATGAGGATAGCTAATTTATTGAGAGTTTATTGCATGCCATGTACTATTCTAACCTCTTTCACATAGGAAAACATTTACTCCTCGTGGTAACCTGTGGGGAGAATGAGGTATGGGAGCATGAAGTAATGTTTCAAAGCAAACCTGCAGGGCCAGGATTTGAACCCAGGCAGTTTGGCTTGACAGTATGTGCTCTGATTCTCTGAGCCATGCTGCTTAGAGATAAGAAGGAAGATATGAAACTAAATATGACATATGCACACCACTGTACTGAGTACTTTATGTGTTATCTCTTTTAAAGCTTTCAGAGGGCCCTACAACCTGTGCGACCAGCCCTTAGCTACTCCCAGGTGTCCCTGATAGATCACTATGGTCGCTTCATCTGAAATGGACATAACTTTCTTTTCTTTTCTTTTTTCTTTCGAGACAGAGTCTTGCTCTAGGCCCAAGCAAGATTGCAGTGAAGTGGTGTAATCTTAGCTCACTCCAAACTCTGCCTCCTGAGTTTAAGCAATTCTCCTGTCTCAGCCTCCCAAGTAGCTTGGATTACAGGCACACAACATGAAACTCAGCTAACTTTTGTATTTTTAGTAGAGATGGGGTTTCATCATGTTGCCCAGGCTGGTCTCGAACTCCTGACCTCAAGTAATCTGCCTGCCTCAGCCTCTCGAAGTGCTGGGATTACAGGTGTGAGCCACCACACACAGCCTGAAATAGCCATAATTTCTAAGAGATTATTTTAATGCTCACTTTTTAAAGTAAGTATAATTATTTTAATATTCTTCAAATCATATTGCAGGAAATTTGGATAGTAGAAGAAAAGAAAAAAACACATAATGCCAGTCTATATCATAGTCAGTCTTATTTTGGCATATTTCCTAAAACTCCTTTACAAATGCCTCTATATCCTATGAATGCAGTTTTTAGCCAGCATTTCAAGCTTTATCCCCGTGTTTTTATGCAGTCTTCATAACTGTGATTTTTAAATTGACAGTGTTTTGACTTCTTTTGGTATTTTTTAATTGGGAGCATTTTGAGTTTTCAAATAATTGTTGGAGAGATTTCATCTTAAACTTTTTAAAGGCATTTTATGCTAGATCTCGGTTAAAAAACACTCAGCAGCCAAGGTTAATTTTTAGAACTATCTTTCCTTGTTTTCACAGGGATCTACCGAACAGAAAGGGACAAAGGCACGTTGTATGAGCTCACCTTCAAAGGGGACCACAAACACGAATTCAAGCGGCTCATCTTGTTTCGACCATTCGGACCCATCATGAAAGTGAAAAAAGAAAAGCTCAACATGGCCAACATGCTTATCAATGTTATCGTGCCACTAGCAAAAAGGGTGGACAAGTTCCGGCAGTTCATGCAGAATTTCAGGTTTGTTTGTTCGTGCGTGTTTATCTTCCTCCGTGTGGTGTGTGTTAGAACACTGTTACCATTTCCCGTCACCTCCTTCATTTCCTCTGCTAAGTACAAAGACTCCTTTCTCTTGTTAAGCTCTGTTTTCTCCATGTAAACTTTATCATTTGTATTTGCCTTTCCCTAGAACAATTAGAAAACTGCTTTACAAGCATATTTACCTTCAGAAATGAAAAGCAGGAAGGACTGGGTTTTTATCAGGATCTACAAAGATGATCGAATGCCCGTTGTGTTCATTCTGACTTGCGACTGGTCTCTGGTTTGGGGATAGCAGGAACCAATACTCACAGGCAAGTGAGCAACGTTGAGTCTTGAGCTGGCAGTGGCCGAGCCCACGTTGATAGTGGATGAGCCCTGGAAGATCTTCTTGAATAGGCTCTAGGCTGCCTTCATCTGCTGTCCTGTTCTAGTGGCAGATGCAGTGTATTGGATCCAAATCTGTTTTTTATTCTAATCTACATCATTTTAGACTTAATTGTAGAATTATACCAAGAAGGCTTCAAGCCCACATTTTTGTAGCTACTCAGTGAGACAAAGTGGGGTTTCATTGTCAGGCATGCTGATGAAGTTTTTAGATGTGTGTCTTTAATCACTTGATTGTGTGGTGTTGGATCTTAGAAGCTGTGATGGCTCACATTCACATGTTGGCTGAGGATAACCAGCTAAGTTATTTCGCCAGCTTGTTTTAAACATGGAAAATTATATTATCTAACTATAAATCTTGCAAGATCAATCTTATTTTTTTTTTCTTTTTCTTTGAGGTGTAGTCTTACTCTGTCACCCAGGATGAAGTGCAGTGACATGAACTCTGCTCACTGCAACCTTTACCTCTTGGGTTCAAGCGATTCTCCTGACTCAGCTTCCGAAGTAGCTAGGATTACAGGCACCCACCACCACACCTGGCTAATTTTTGTATTTTTAGTAGAGACAGGGTTTTGCCATGTTGGCCAGGCTGGTCTTGAATGCCTGACCTCAGATAATCCACCCACCTTGGCCTCCCAAAGTGCTGGGATTACAGCCGTGAGCCACCACACCCAGCCTTGACTTTTAATCTTACTAAATTTACGTTATTAAAAGGCAGAATGTTCAGTATAAGGATGTGGTTGATATCTTTCAAAATTCTGGTTCATGAACATACTCTTTTTTAAAGGGTAACCTACTTACAACTAAGTTTTTTGAAGATCAGAATCAAATAGTCTTAGAAGAGACCTTTGAGATCATCTGGTCTAATCTTATAATTCGGAGTGTCTCCCTCCCTGACATTGCCTGGGGTTCTCTAGGCAATGGGTGTGTGCACCAGGTAGCTGCCTACATTACTAGTCAAGCTGCTGCTTTGTTGACCGTCTCTGAATAGAAAGTTCTTTATTGTTTGTACTTGAAGTCAGCTTCCATGTCTTTTCTGCCTGGTGGGTCTAGTTCTAGTCTCTCGAGGACTGAACAAACTGTGTGTGTGTGTGTGTGTGTGTGTGTGTGTGTGTGTGTGTGTGTGTGTGTGTGTGACAGAGTTTAGCTCTTGTTACCCAGGCTGGAGTGCAGTGGTGCAATCTCGGCTCACTGCAACCTCTGCATCCCAGGTTCAGGCAATTCTCCCACCTCAGCCTCCCAAGTAGCTGGGATTACAGGCATGCACCATCAGGCCTGGCTAATTTTGTATTTTTAGTAGAAATGGGGCTTCTCAATGTTGGTCAAGCTGGTCTTGAACTTCCAACCTCAGGTGATCCATGGGCCTTGGCCTCCCAAAGTGCTGGGACCACAGGCACAGAGCCACCAGGCCCAGCCTTCCATTTCCTCTTAAACATGATAAGCTTTCAAGTATTTGAAGGTGGTCATCACAACTGGCATAGTCTTTTCTTCCCCAGGTATAGCAGTTCTCAATTTCCTTAGCTTTTTTATATTCCCTAGTTTGTAAACTGTTTTAATTAGCTGGAGCGTGCCTTTAGCCATGATGTAATTCAAAGTAGTGTGAGCTAATTGATTGATCTTCTCCCAGTTTGTAGAATACTTCTGTGCAGGATCGCATAACTATTTGCAGTGTTCTTCTGGCTCTAATCCTGAAGTGAGTGTTTTTATAGTTTTGGCTTATTTTGACCTTCTTTTGGTGTCTTTGCTTTCTTTCTCTGTAGACCTTCCCTTTGGAATGGCAGAGTGCTACTGGTTGACTAAACAGCACATCTCCAGAATGACTGAAGCTGTGATGTTCTGAATGCAGTTGTAGAACCTGAATGTGGTTTTCATGAGACACTAAGTCAAATCATTACTCTCAGCAGCTAGAATGCCATTTCTAGGACTATGTTATAGCAAGTTCCTTTGGCGAGCTGCCTATGGCTTACTGAGTTCAGGGTCCTGAGCTTTGATTCTGCACATAGGCCAGCCCTTGGATGTGTTGGGCTTGCTAAGGTAGCGAGGGAAATATCTGCTTGGTGAAAGGACAGTCCTCACTGTAGGACTCCTGGGGCCTGAAATAGCAGGATTCTCTTGGGTATATATGAACAGCTATTTCCTTACTGTTGTGAGAATTTTAAGCAGTTAACAATAGGAATAAAACAGGAAGGGAGGTGTCATTGAGAAGAGCCCAATGAGTAGCTCACAAGCCTTCAAAATGGAGTGGGTGGAATGAAATGTGATTCTCATTAATGTTTTAAAAGAACACAAAAGATCCTAGGGCATTGTGTTCTGAGCCAATTTCTCTCAGCTCACCACATGAACTTTTACTATTTAGATGTCCCTTGCTCGTGTCGGTAGGAAAGGGTGGGTGATGGAAGACTTGTGACCTGGAGAGGATCTTTTGAAATCCTTTTGCATGTTCCAGACAGGCTACCCAGATTTGAGGGATTAGAAGATGAATTCAAGATGCGGTACCTACTTTTATGAATAGCAGAAGCTGCAAATACAGACCCAGGTGCTATGGCAGAGATATAAATGGACAATGGGACACAAAGAGAAGCTGCCTAGGACAGCTGGCACTGGAGCAGGAGGCTGAGCAGGGAGTTTAATTCACAGTCGAGGCATTTCAGAGTGTGTTGCGGTCTCTGAAAAACTGGGATGTGAGAGGGTAAATACCTGTGGGTATTTAATTCGTCATAAGACCTTATTAAAGGTGGCATTTCAAACCCAAAGAAGGGGTTATTCAGGGCATGGTGTGAGGACAACTAGCCAAACATAGCAGGAAAAAAATGGGATTCTTATTTCACACCAAAAAGCAAAGTAAATGCCAGTCAATTAAATATTTAAATGCAATTAACATGACCATAAAATTACTGGGAGAAAATATAAAGGGCTATTTAATAAATATTTGATGTTGTCTTTATGAAGTCCTTTCCATCCTCAGACTGAAACTGTGAACTCTGGTTGACACTGAGGATGATGACACTAGGAACAATTTGTATTTCCTTTTTTTCCTGTTTTCTAAATATTTGTATAGCCGCCGTATGTTTTATATTTTGTTTAAAGATTCAGTGACAGATTATTTTTGGCTTTTATAATTTAAACATGACTTTTCAGTTTGTAGAAGGTGATACTTGGCTTTTATAAGATATTTAAGCAATATAGAACAGCACAGGGAATAAATTATTTAGAAAGTCACTCCAGGTCTCGCCTCCCAGAATTAACCAATATTAACATTAATTGAACACCATTCCGGGAAATTTTCTTTGCATATATGCAGATAGAAGAAGTGCTTGCCAGCTGGGAATAAGTCAGTGCAACATGAGATACACTATACATTGTATTTCTACTCGTAGAATTAAAATGTATCTTTCTTAATTTTATTGAAGAAAACTGGAAGTATAATGAAGCAGTGGCTGAAGTTTAAGAAAATGACTCCTCAGTGTAAGAAATATTCGTTCCTAAGAGATTCCTCAGAAGTTAAAAAGTGATTTTTGCAAAACAAAAAATGGTTGGGATTACTATTTTTTACTACATTTTATAACTTTAGTTTCATTGAAAATTGCAGTACGAAAAGAAATCAGCACAGCTATAATTTCTGCCTTCTGTGTCCCATCTTCTGATTTTTGTTAGCAACCTAGTGTTCGTTTGTTTGTTTTAATACAGTCTCGCTCTGTCACCCAGGCTGGAGTGCAGTGACATGACCTTGGCTAACTGCAGCCTCCCCCTCCCAGTTTAAGCAATTCTCTTGCCTCAGCCTCCCAAGTAGCTGGGATTACAGGTGTGCATGACCACACCTGGCTAATTTTTGTATTTTTAGGAGAGACTGGGTTTCACCATGTTGGCCAAGCTGGTCTCAAACTCCTACCTCAAGTGATCTGCCCGCCTCAGCCTCCCAAAGTGGTGGGACGACAGACGTCAGCCACTGTGCCTGGCGGCAATCCATTATTTTGATCTCGTCAGGGTTCCAACGTTTACATTGTTTCATAACTGCAGTTTCTACAGTTGTAGTTCTGGAGTGAGTATACTCGTCACCAGTCCTCTTCCAAAAGCTTTCCATTCCTTAGTTATTAGCTGGCTATATTTTATGCTCAAGATAATTTTTCAAGAACGGTCACAAGTGCTTAAGCATGGAATATTTATTTGTTATTATAGTGTACAGAAAGCTTAGCTGGGCTTAAAATCCATGGAACACTCTTTCCTTCCTTGGGACTTTGTAGACATTCTTCTGGCATCAGATGATCTGGTGAAGTGTAAGACCACTTTATTTTGCCCCTCTTGTAAGCGGCTTTTGCCAGAATGCCTGAAGAATTCCTTCATTAGTCTTCAGTCACATTCGCTTAGTCAGGATATGTCTTATCTCAGCATCTGTTGCCTGCCTGCTTGCCTCTACCTGCCTCTGCCTGCCTCTGCCTGCCTCTGCCTGACTCTGCCTGCCTCTGCCTGCCTCTTCCTGACTCTCTCTCCCTCTCTTTCCCCTTCCCCTTCCCCTTTCTTTTCTCCTTCACCTTTTCCTTCCCAATGGAGGAGTCTCACTGCAATCTCTGCCTCCCAGGTCCAAGCACTTCTCATGT